AGTCATTCTTTGCTCTACTTCATACTTCGTGTTCCCTTATCAAAGATTAAATGTTCATGTATTTGAGGGTCTGTGTCAGGATATTGAATTCTATTCCATTGGTCTGCATTAATACCATGCTGTTTTAATTACTGACACTTGGTAGTAGGGTTTGAAGTCCTGTCTTCTTTTTTCCCAAGGATGCTTTAGCTACCCACGGGAGTTTATTATTCCATATAAATTTCAGGAGTGTTTGGACTTAGTTTACTTTAAATGTGTTAGAAAAATTGTATTAAAAAATTAAACATTTGAACCTAAGGACATTATTTTTCCCAGCAGAATATTTGTTTTTTTTTTCACTTCTTTTTTCTTCCTTCTTGTTTAATTTTTGTTTGCTTGTTTGTTTTGGGACCATACCTAGCTGTGCTTAAGAGTGACTCCTTGACTGTGTGTTCAGGAATGACCATGGGCAGTTCCAGGGATCCAAACCACGTCAACTGCATGCAAAGTAAGTGCCTTATCTCCTGTGCTACCTTTTATACCTTTTTTTTTTTTAAATTCTGGGTCACCCACTCAATGATGCTCAAGGGTTTGCTTCGGGCTCTGCACTCAGAAATTACTCCTGGTGGTACTCTGGGTACCATATGGGATGCTGGGAATCAAATCCAGGTTAGCAGAGTGCAATGCAAGTACCCTCCCACTATACTGTTGCTTCAGCTCCACCTCTTCTTATAACATGTTAGTACTACTAGGAACTCAGGATCATCTCCCACCCCTTCCTTTTAATCCAGATAGCAAATTTTTATTGACTATTATTTAAAAGCTGGTCCCAACAGGACTGGAGTGATGGTACAGCGGGTAGGGCATTCACCTTGCACACAGCCCACCCAGGTTCGATTCCTCTGCCCCTCTTGGAGAGCCTGGCAAGCTACTGAGCTTGAGTATCCTGCCCACACTGCAGAGTCTGGCAAGCTCCCCGTGGTGTATTCGATATGCCAAAAACAGTAACAAGTCTCACAATGAAACGTTACTGGTGCCCGCTCAGGGAAATTGATGAACAATGGGAGGACTGTGCTACAGTACAATAGATCTACCTGGGCTGGAACGATGGGCTAGAGTCATAGCACAGTGGGTAGGGCTTTTGCTTTGCACTCAGCCGACCCGGCCAACCCAGGTTCAATTCCTCTGTCCCTCTCTGAGAGCCCGGCAAGCTACTGAGAGTATCTCACCCTCACGGTAAAGCCTGGCAAGCTATCCATGACGTATTCGATATGCCAAAAACAGTAACAACAAGTCTCACAACATCTCTTACAATGGAGATGTTATTGGGCCCACTCGAGCAGATCAATGAACAACGGGAAGACAGTGGACATTGGACAGAGGGCTGGAGCCATAGCACAGAGGGTAGGGCATTTGCTTTGCGTGCGGCTGACCCAAGTTCGATTCCTCTGTCCCTCTCGGAGAGCCCAGCAAGTTACCGAGAGTATCCTGTCCGTATGGCAGAGCCTGGAAAGCTACTTGTGGCATATTCAAAATGCCAAAAACAGTAACAACAACTTTCACAAAGGAGACGTAACTGGTGCCCCACTCAAGCAAATTGATGAACAACAGGAGGACAGTGCTGCAACATTATTTTTTTTCTTTTGGGTCACACCTCGCAATGCACAGGGATTATTCCTGGCTCTGCACTCAAGAATCACTCCTGGTGGTGCTCAGGGGACCACATGGGATGCCGGGAATCGAACCCAGGTTGGCCATGTGCAAGGCAAACGCCCTACCCACTGTGCTATTGCTCTAGCCCAGTGCTGCTACATTATTTAAAAGATAACATGTCCTTGGCACATAGTAGGCACTCAATAAGTATCTCTGATAATTCATAAAGGAAATGACTATGCTCATTCAGTTTCAGCTCAGGATCATCCTAATAAAATTTCAGGACTTGAGATGTTCTGAGTCATCCGGATGGCTTGAAACTGGGCTGCTGTCCATGTGGAAGAGGGTTTATCAAGACAGTGATCTTCATTCCTATGATGTAGTCTTTGATCCTAGCCCATGAGGGAGACGGTTTGTTTTAGTGGGTTTCCCCTTGACAGTGCTGGCTGCAAAATTTATATGACTAACTCTACAAATACTCACAAAATGCACCTTTATATTAGGCTGCCTATTGAAGATCTAGACAGCCCTAAAACAGAAGCATGCATACAGACAGACATATGTATGTTCTCTCACTCTCTCCTTGATCATTTTTATCCTCAGGAGTGAGGGGAGGTAGGAGGAGGCAGCCTAAGACATAGAACTCAGGAAGCTTGGGAGTCACTAAGGACTTGCTGCCACAGTCCCACCCAGCTGGAAGGTTGAATGCTAGGGCCTGAGGATAAAATAAGTTTGGGGTCCTGCTGGGGACTGCGGGCCTGCCCAGGGGGCACCAGGGGCACACTCCAAATTCTGGAGGACCTCCCAGGGCATATGGAGTTGCTCAGGGTCCCTGCCTTGATTTTGATCCAATCAGCATTTTCATGATTTTTGTTTGTTTTTGAGCCACACCCTCGCAGTGCTCAGGACTTACTCCTGTCTCTGCACTGAAAGATCACTCCTGGCATTGCTCAGGAGACCATATAGCATGCCAGGAATCACCCCAGGTCGGCTGCATGCAAGACAAACATGTGATCCACTGTGATGTCTCTCTGGCCCTTGCTTAAGGAAATTTTATAGCGTTTCCATATAGAAATAATGGCTTACATCATTTTTCTCGGCATTACTCTTTATTGAATACAGACTTACAGTCTTTAAATAATCTGCATAGAATGCTTTCAATATACTGCTCTCTAGTCATACATATATTTCTTTAAAGCACAAAACTATAACTTAAAATGAAAGGCTATAAATACACATGTACATATTGCCATAAATCTAGAACTATTTTATAAAAAATAGAACTCAAATATCAACTTTATATATTTTGGCAACTTAGCAGTACTGTAAGGTGTCCACATATATTGTTATGATGCATAACTATCCCCAAATGTCTGTCTCCAGGTTTCATTTTCCATCACCTTGGGGGAAAAATAAGAATAATTTCCTTTTCCAGGGCCCCACAGAGATGCTCATGGCCATGGCTCAGCCCTGTCTTTGCAGAAAGACTCTGTGTATCCACATGTTCTTGGAGGAGGAAGACCAGCTTCCAGCCCGATTGTCCAAGAAGGGAAGTATTCCCTCCTGCCAAACATCCACTGTCTACACTTTTCAAAGCCCTTACAGTTCAGAGCTGAGATCTGACTGTACTGTTTACTTTCCCTATTCTTGGACAATAATAGCTTTGAGTCTGACTCTCTCAGCTCCATGCCAAGGGTTTTTAAATAGTCACCCAAATGATGCCTGCTCTGGGGCAACGCCATCCTCATCCCCACAGCAGACCCTGGGGTCCACCTGCTGGTACAAGGCCCTTTGCCATGCTCTCCAGTTCACTAAAAGTGCAAAATCATTCTTGCTCTCATCTGGAAATGGAGACAACTGAGTTTCGAGCAAGGTCAATGGGACTGCCTGCCCGGCAACCCATGGAGGAGCCTAAAGAGAGCCCTGGTTTGTCCTGTGGTCATTTGGGGAGAACAGAAGTGGCTCTGGGTGAAATTACGGCAGGTTGACGGCAGCTCCCTAGATATTCCTGGGACTCTTGGGCTGCAACATCTCCAGGGGAGCAGAAAGGTGGAAAGGGGTGGAGCAGGAAGCGGACAAGGGCACAGGGAGGCACAAGCCCTCCCAGCTAATGGCTCTGCAGGAGCAATGTGAGGATCTCCCAGGTCATCAAAGAATACCCTCACTTTAAAACCACAGGTTCAAGAAATTCCTAGTCTGAGACTTTGTGTCTTCGTTGTTGAGTAAATTCACAATGCGCGTGCCCCAGTCTCTCTCCCCGGCCTGTCCTTACAGGTGACAGTGTGGAGGAGCTGGCACACAGCCCAAGCCAGGGTGGAGGACCTGTAGGACTCAGAGCACAGCAGGCTGGGAATGGGTGGGGTGGAGTAGCCCCTTTTCAGGAAAGCCCTGCAGGGAGCAGAGCCACTGGAGGGCTACTGAGTGCCCAGCTCAGGATCTCTCCTGGATGGGGCAGGTCGCCACTATGATTGGCTGTTCTTTGCTTTCGGGTTGCTTTTCCACCCCCAAAAAGTGCCTCTCACATACCTATGATCAGTCTCTTGGGAGAATCTCAGGGTGCTGGCTCTGTGACCTTCACCAGCCCCCCATCTTTGATGGTTAGTGCTGGACGTAGCCATGCTCTGCTCTCAGCCTGTCCCCAGCCCTGCTCTGGGCTCCTCCACATGGCCTGGGATGAGAAACCCTGGAACCGTGCATCTCACAAAAGGAGTCCTGCTTGGGCCCCTGAGATCACCGTCTGAAGTTAATGCCACAGTGCTTCTCTTAAAAGCCTCTCAGAACCCAAACCAAACCAAGAGTAACACCCCTCTTCCCTCCAAAATGCAGGTCACCTCTGGGGCATGTTTCCTAGGAAGGAGGTGGGAAAGCGAACCAGAAATAATGAAACTGGCAGGACCCTTGGGGAGCAGACAAGTTCTCCCTCCATATATGAATTCCCACGGCCCTGGGGAAGCATCGCAGCAACTATTCAAGAGCAATTACAGAAAAACAAAAGGTTTTCTTCTTCATGGAACAACCTGACTAGCGTTCAGAACTCTGTGGAAGGCTGTCTGTGGGAGCGGAAAAGGAGAAATGTGTTTGTGCTCTGAGGTCACTCTTTTTCCATTGAACTTGGACTGGGCTCTGCATGTGCATGTGGGCGCGTATGCATGCATGCATGCATATGTGTGGGTGTGGGGGGTAGTGGGGGAGCAGGGTGTGGTGCTCACAGGACTATATGGCTCAGTGTCCACCATTTGGAACAATCTGGTCAGACTCTGCTATGAATTTGCAGCAGAGGCTCCAATTACTCCTTTAAAATAAACAAAGGGTAATGACCTCTCCCTTCAAGATTCACTTTGGTGCACCTCAAATAATGGGCAACAGGCTCATTTGTTGAGCAAAAGCATCTCCTGAACTCGTTAGTGCTTGCTGGGGAAAGAATAAGAATATTAGCTTCCAGGTCTTGGAGGGGAAATCTACATGGACTTCCCTCACCTCGGTCAGGCCACCTTTGTGCCAGCTGGGCTCTGTGTCCGTGCAGAGGGCTCCTGGGAAGAGTAAGGAGCCTCATGCAGAGTGGGGGACTCTTTCCTCTAACTCTCAAACTGTGCAGTGCCTCCAGCAGGTTGGTCTATGCTGGGCCCTGAGGACTGGGAGCTACAGAAGCCAGGACGAGGGTTGGCAAGCGGGGGAGTTGGTAGGATCTGGGGGTAGCAGATTGCTGGGTGGGGAGGAAGCGAATCCTAGTCCCAGGGGTCAACGCTAATGGGCCTGGCTGAGCCTCGCTGCCTTTTCTTTTGTGGCGGGTGGTTTGCTTGGGGTTTCTGAGGCTGGACTGCAGAGGTCTCTCATTTCCAGGAGACTCGCTTCCACCCCTTCCGCAAACTTCGTGGAAGAGGTCTCTCTGCAGCCGTGAAAGCTGGAGATGCAGAAAAGGATGCTCTCTGCCTGCGGGTTGTAGCAGGCTCCGTAACCATTGGGCACCACAGGTCCATAGCAGCAAAACATGTCCATAGTGGTGGGCACCTGCGGAAAGAGGATAGGTTAGCCATGGCTCGCCGTGAAAGGTAGTCCCGGAGCCTGGCTAGAGTGCTGGGTGAGCTAACACCTCTGGTTCTCCACCAGTGAACTTGCTTCTCTATTTCCCGCCTGCGTGTTTGGCTGCATTAACCAAATCAACCAATTGCTTCAGTATGGATGGCCATAGCCAGAGGCATGAAAACAAACCCATCTAACTGCAGGAGGCCAGAAGAGGGAGGACTCCCTGGTGTGTGAGTTCTGCCCTGCATATGAGACCGGAAGCTCCCCCGGTGACCTGAGGTTGGGTTGGAGACTGAGTCCTTCATTCAGCTGGGGGCCACAGAAGGCACCGAGGCAGTCAGGGTAATTTACTCAGTGGCACCCTGGTGGCCCCTAACACTTAAGATGGCTTCCCAGAGGGAGCCGTTTATGAACTGGAGGGAATCGGGCCCATCTTCTCTGCATCTTTAATTACTGTCCGTCGTGCCTGGCTGCTCAGTGTCTCCCTGCAGCCTGGCCACGCACAATTAACCCGCTGGGGGTGTTGCAAAGCTGCCATCGACTGGGATTTTAGCGAGGCCTCTCAGACGTCTTGAGTTTAGAGTGCCAAGGTTTTGTCATCTGGATTACACACCTAGAATCTGTGTTTTGGGAAAGCATTTAGATCTGAAATGTTCGTTTCCAGTTGGAAAAAAAAATGTTACCCTTTCTCTAATGAACTATGTACACTGAGGTTAGGGGTTAAAGAGAGTAGATAAGCTCGGAGCAGGGCTTGTTGAAACGCACAGGTTCCTGGTGTTGTGTGCTCGGGCCTTCACTTATGACACTGGCCCTTTTAATGGGGCAGAACAAACCATTAGTCTTGCTAATAGAGTCACCTCATTGTCAGATAAATTTGCCGTGCAACAGCCGAAGGCCATAAAGCCGTTCCAAAGCACTTTTTGCCCATGGATGATTTCCTGAAGAATTTATGTTGTTGTGCTCTGCCCTCATTCATTCATGTCTGCAAGCTCACTGCCATAATGACAAAATCAAATTACTGAGTGGGCTTTTATCCTCAAACACAACTTTGTCAGCTCCTTTTATTGCCCACATCAAACCATGCTCTGATGAGGCAGGGTTTTAGTAAACTAGTGATTGCTGGTGGAGTGGGACTGTTGTCTCTCCTCCACTGCCTCCTTTCTGGGGTGCAGAGGTACCTAAATTCATCTGGTCTACTGCCTCTTTTGAAGGAACTAAACAACAAAATTCAGCATATCCTCCTTCCACCCCTTAAGCCCAATACACTAAAGCAGACATCCGCTTTTTGTGTTCCTCTGGATGACTGAAGCACCCACCGTGTTAGACACTGATCTAATAAATTTGTTTAGTTTTGTGTCCTCAGCAGAATGAGTCTGAAAGCATCACAGTGAGCGGATGCTGGGTGGCAGTTACTCTCCAACAGGTGCTCCCAGGGCATGTCAGAGTAAAGACTGTGACCTGTGTGGAAGGTGCTGTCCAGGCCAGGCACTGGGCAGGATTTGGGGAGAGGGGTGGAGATGCCCTACTAAGTGAGAATGGGGGCCATTCTGGGAAGCTAGGGCCCATGCAGAGCCAGGGATTCAACCCGAAGCTAATGTTCAACACACATTTAGCCTGTTGAGCCAGCTCTAAACCCCTGTGCTGGGCTTTAGACTTCCATGATTGGCCAGTAATACACCTCAGGCCTGTGGTTACCATACTGGACCACAGCCCTCAGGTCAAAGACTGAAAGGTGGCAAGTGTCCTAGATAGAGTGTCAGGTGTCCTAGGATACGTCTGAACCAGTGCTCTCCTAGTCTGCCTCCTTCAGGTAAAGTCCATGATTATTCCGGAGCGATAGCACAGCGGTAGGGTGTTCGCCTTACAAGCGGCCAACATGGCCGACCCGAGTTCGATTCCTCCGCCCCTCTCGGAGAGCCCGGCAAGCTACCGAGAGTATTCGATATGCCAGACACAGTAACAACAAAGTCTCCAATGGAGACGTTACTGGGCCCGCTCGAGCAAATCGACGATCAACGGGAGGGCCTTTACCTTTACCTTTATTCCCATTTAGAAGATGGGGAAGCCAGTGTTTGGGGCATTTAGGTCATTTTGCTCTGTTCATGCAGCTAGAAAGAAGCCAATCCAGGACTGCCTGACTCCAACCAGTGGGCCTCGGTCACCGAGCTCTTTAGAAAAGTCACGGGTTATGCTAGTGGCCTTGTGGGCCATTGGAAGTGCCATACCTGGCTGGTAGAGAGGATGAACTGGTTGCTCATCAGGTATGTTTCATCTGTGAACATCTCCGGAGGCTCCTTGCATATGTCCCGTGCCAGCTCTCGCAGCCCCAGCAGATGGTTGTCAATGGCCATCCCAGTGATAGCCTGGGCATCCGTCAGGGACAGAGAACAGGAAATGAGATGGGGCATCCCATGGTCATCCTTCCCTCCATGAGAGTTCGCTATGACAATGGCCAACCCATGCAGTTGTTAATGTGTAAGGATGGCCACCTATGACTAACCACTTGGCCTGTGGTCTTGACTCTGTGGGCCCTTGCATATTTTGACACTCACAGGGTGAATTCAGGGAGAGTTTGGTTCTAACATAAAGACGCACCTGAGTCAAAAGTCGGAGAGTCCCAGACACACACTTCCCCCTAGTATGGTCACTGCTGACACCAGAACCTCTCGGGGTTCTCAACAGAAGGAGCAGAGTCTCATGTAGTAGAGGGGAATGGGTGCTGGCCTGGGAATTGCTCGGCCCCATTCAAGAGCAGGGAGGGTTGCTCCAGGCTGTCACCAGGCATATTCTCATGAAAACCACTGCTTTATCCTTGAGAAGGAGCCCAGAGGGACGGAGGATGCTAAGGTTCGTTGTTCCTTGGCTACTATTTCACGGGTCCACAACCAATCAGTTCTACTATGCTGGATTCATAGTCTACAAAACTGCTTTGAGACTGGAACCAGACACCTAAACAGAGGCTTATCGGACATTTAAAAATCAGATGATAAAAAGCATGTTCATCACCTGCTCCTCAAGGGCTAAGATAACAGCATTCCTGTGTGAAAGGCGCCCAAACATATGGCGTGGCTGGATGCTGGGTGGGCAGGGTATTCTCTGCACATTACTGTAGGCCATGCACATAATGTGCACTGGTTTTGCTCGCATTTCATGCTTATTGAGGGAAACTTTGGAGGCTGATGGAGACTTGGGGACCACTTATAGTAATAATCTCTGGGTCATTGTCAGCTTAACTGTGTGATACTTGAGGGTTTCTGAATTATGTAGGAGTACAGCTAGATCATGAATGTTCCACACAGGAGGTATCCTCGCCCTCTCCTCACAAGGAACTTTGTGCAGGCGGGCAAGGAATGTTTTGGAGAGTGATACCTATTTTTTTTTTTTTGGTTGAGAATGAATGCTTAAAGACAACATCTGCACTGTAGCACTATCATCCCATTGTTCATCGAGTTGCTTGAGCGGGCCCAGTAATATCTCACAACAAATTGTGGGACTTGTTGTTACTGTATTTGGCATATCGAATATGTCAGGGGTAGCTTGCCACACTTTGACATGTGGGTGAGTTACTCTGGGTAGCTTGCTGGGCTCTCTGAGAGGGGTGGAAGAATCAAACCCAGGTTGGCCGGGTCAGCCGTGTGCAAGGCAAACGCCCTACCCATTGTGCTATCACTCCAGCCTGTATCATTGTTTCCAAATGCACCGACACATAGGTTGGAAAGATGAGTTTCAGATCTCAGCTTAATCTAGGTATGCCTATCAGTACAGAATGGGAGAGCTCTGAGCCATTAAGACATGGAACACGTGGTGCATTACTCTGGTCACTTTGCTAATATGCTGATTTCTGTGGTTTTCTAGAGGCAGCTTCTCTGTAGAGCAGGCAGGCCACACCTGTTCTCACTTCCTCTAAACTCACTGGAGCAATGGAATGGTCTGACTTTGGATCAGAGCCACAAGGAGTAATGAATAAAGTAATTCATTCTTGGGGTCAAAGAGAATGAGCATTGGTGGAGGGATGAGTACTCGATCATTGTATAACTGAAACCCAAGCACAAAAATCTGTAAGTCTACAACTGTACCTCATGGTGTTACACTAATAAAATTTTTTTTAAAAAGTGAAAGTACAGGAGTTAAGGCATTTGCGGAGCACGCAGCCTACCCTGGTTCAATCCCCAGCACTCAGTATGGTCCACTCAGTACCACCAGGAGTGATCCCTGAGCACAGAGCCAGGAGTTAGCCCTGGGCATGGCCAGGTGTGACTCCCAGACCAAAATAAAATAAAATGTAGGTAATTTATAATTTTGTTCCTCTTCACACTTCCTGCTCCTCTGCGTTATTCTTCTCTGGATATGCTAAATAGTGGTCTACGTGGGCTCTCTCGTCTCTCTTCACTATCATCCTTTTCCCCTCTTCTTTTATTGTTTGTTTTGTGTTTGGACAACACTCAGTAATGTTCCAGGATTACTCCTGATTCTGCACTCAGGAATAATTCCGATAGTGCTCAGGGGACCATATGGAAGGCCAGGGATCACAGCCAGGTAGAAGGCAAGCATCCTACCTGCTGTACTATCTCTCCAGACCTTGCTACCTCTTTCTTGTGTTGAGTCTTCTGATTTTCCAAGTCTTCAAATTTCTCTTCTCTGTTTTTATTATCTTTAGTGTTGTTGGTGCTCTGATAACTTTGTAAGAAAAAGTGATTAAGAAGTAATGTTTTAGAGACTTTGTCTATTTGAAAATGCTTTATTTTGCCTTCAAACTTGATGATGATGGTTTAGCTAGGCATAAATATCCATTAGAGATAATTTATTTTCAATATGTATAAAGGGCTGGAGTGATAGCACAGAGGGTAGGGCATTTGCCTTGCAAGTGGCCAACATGGTCGATCCGAGTTCGATTCCTCCACCCCTCTCGGAGAGCCCGGCAAGCTACCCAGAGTATCTCGCCCGTAAGGCAAAGCCTGGCAAGCTACCTGTGACGTATTTGATATGCCAAACATAGTAACAATTGTCACAATGGAGACGTTACTGGGTCTGCTCAAGCAAATCGATGAACAACGGGAGGACAGTGACAGTGATGTATAAAGGCATTGTTCCACTGTCTCCTACCTTCCAATGCTGATGCTAAAGGGAGTTTAATTACATTTTTGAAGGCATAAGTCCTGGTGGTGCCTGGGAAACCAGGCAGTGCTGGGAATGGGACCTTGGAGCCCTGCGTGTACTCTCTCTTTGAACTCTTTTCCTGGTCCTCCAATTATGTTTTATTCCTGGTCTTTCTGCAAAGTTTCAGAATTTTCCCTTCTTTCTTAGTATTATGAAATATCCTTAATGGTGGGTATTTTTCATCAGTTATGCAAGGTACGTAGCAGACTCTAAAACTTTAAAAAAATTCTAGTGTTCTAGGAAATTTTCATGAATTATTTTGTTATTGATTTCCTCCCAAGCATTTTTCTCTTCAGACCCCTATTGGTTGGGATACTGGTCCTCTTGTACTAAGCCCTTTTTCTCTCCTCTCAACCTACCTCTTTTTTGGTTGATCTTTGGAAGAATTTATCTCAGATTTATCTTCCAATCTTTCCATTACATTTTTCTACGTTTTCCCTTGTAGAATCACTTTTCTTTCCTTTCTTTCTATGTTCAATTGACAAGCACCTCTTCATCTTTTAAATCTTGTTTCCTCTGAGCAGTCTTCCTGGCTTTCCTAAGCAGACGAAGCAGCTTGTCCATCATAGTGCTCACTTTGCCCTCTTTAGGGATATTTCCAGGGACTGGATTTAACATCTAAGAGCTTCTTTCATTATGCCCCAAACTCCTGAAGTCAGATATTTTTTCCTTTCCTAGTATTCAGTGGATGGAGCAATAGCACAGAGGGTAGGGCATTTGCCTTGTACGCGGCTGACCCGGGTTCGATTCCTCATCCCTCTCAGAGAGCCCAGCAAACTACTGAGAGCCTGGCAAGCTCCCCATGGTGTATTCGATATGCCAAAAACAGTAACAACAAGTCTCACAATGGAGATGTTATTGGTGCCTGCTTGAGCAAATCAATGAACAATGGGAGGACAGTGACAGTGACAGTGACAGTAGTCAATGTTTTGCCTGGCACAAAGCAGGGAAACAGAAAGATACCCATCGAGGGGCTGAAGTGATGGCACAGTGGGTAGGGCGTTTGCCTTGCATGCGGCCGATGGGGTTGATTCCCTGCATCCCATATGGTCCTCTGAGCACCACCAGGGGTAATTCCTGAGTGCAGAGCCAGGAGTGACCCCTGTGCATTACCGGGTGTGACCCAAAAAGCAGGAAAAAAAAAGATACCCATCGAAAATATGAGGGTGAGTTTTCCCAACTGGAACAAATTCTTAACTAACCTGATAAATGTGGGAGCTAGCAACTGAATTAAAGAAAAGCTACATTCAGATACATACTGTACTTGCTTTCAAGTACATAGAATGAAATTCAGTCAATTCTTTTACATAAATTACATGGCCCTTCCAAGACTGCATCAGAATGATTTGTACTTAGTATATCGATCACCAGTCCAAGTAGTAGCTTATTCTTCCTTGTTTGTATGCAAATGAAGGCCTTGAAGTACTAGAAAATAAATGATTTCCCTAAACAAGGGAAACATTTCCTTTACAATTTTGACTTCACTATTAATTTCCAGAAAATATATATATTTTTTTATTTGCAGGCAGCTTAAATAAATACACAGTGAATAAGGCAAAACCAGCCTCGAGTAGGAGCAGACACTGCCTCTTTGGCAAGTATGCCAGGTATGTGGGCTACTAGCGTCTGCTGAACCTGGTGCCCTCCCTTCCGCATTTCACTGTTGTATAAAGTATACGACGGACGAGACCAGTGCAGTCTCCTGCCCCTGCACCTGGCTGTTCCTCACCGGGGTCCCTTGGAGGGGAGCGGGTTGAGCTTTCCTCCCCGCCCCAACCAGGGCTCCGGCAGCGGAAGACCTCCAGGACCAGCCACCACCATGCTGAGACCACTCTCCGCACACATGAAGGTACTGGCAGAGGGACAAAGCCACGCGGGTTCCGGGGCCGAGATCTCCAAGCCTACATGGATTGGAGTCGAGCATCCTCCACCCAGATCCTCCAAATTCCAGTAGGCGGGGGTCACACCCACCACCTGGCCCCCTGGCACCGTGTAATCCCATCAGCGGCCAAGATTCAGAGACTATAAAATCCAGCTCCTGGAACCGCATTCACGGCCGCGCGACATCTTATCAGGACATCTTTTTATGACATCTTCTTATCTCATTCCTACTTTGGACAAACTTGCAGGCTATCGAATGTAGCCTGCCCACAGGGCAGAGTCTGGCAAACTCCCCGTGGCGTACCCAATATGCCAAATACCAGTAACAACGATGGGTCTCATTCTCCTAAAGAGCCTTGAATATAATCTCAGGGCTAGGATGAAAGAGACGTTACTGGGGCCTGCTCGAGGCAATCGACGAATAACAGGATGATGAATGATGAATGAAAAATAAAGTATACAGTGCCACCCAAATTTGGTGCTATCATTATCACTATTGATTTTGTAAAGACCATTTCTTGTAATAGCTATGCAAATAGCAGGGATAGAGTGCATTACCTAATATTATTAGAATAATATTCTAATATTCAGAAACAGTAGGCTCTGAGAGTCGGGGTAGCCTTGCTAAGTGGCCAGGCAGTTGGGAATCCAGCTGTAACCCAGGAATAGGGAGGTCGGGCTCTGGGCAGGATCTACAAGATGCGAGCTCAGGACACCATGAAGCCAGTCCACTCACCATGACTGTGTACTCCGTCTGGGCTCGGATAGCATCTCTCAGGAGCAGCAGCTTTTCCGCATCCTAGGAGTGATAGCACAGCAGGTAGGGCATTTGCCTTGCACGTGACTGACCCGGGTTCGATTCCTCCGTCCCTCTCAGAGAGCCTGGCAAGCTACCGAGAGTATCCCGCCTGCACGGCAGAGCCTGGCAAGATCCCTGTGGTGTATTCGATATGCCAAAAACAGTAACAAGTCTCACAATGGAGACTTTACTGGTGCCCGCTCGAACAAATCGATGAACCATGGGAGGACAGTGCTACAGTGCAACAGAAACAGTGGAAGTGGCCACTCGGTCACCAACCAAGTGGAGAAGTCGGAAATTGCAAATTGCGGAGCTGAGGGGCCCCGTGCCCCTTCCCCAACCACACACCATGAGACCTCAGAGGGGACAGGGCCTACCGGCACAGAAGCCTTGTGGTCAGTCATGGCTTTCACGAAACTCAGGGCCTCGGGGGTGGCAGATCGGATGTTGTCCACCCGTCCCTCCCGGAATCTGCGGATGGAAGCGCTCTCGTAGGTGGGCACGAGCCTCTTGTGCAGCCTGCGGGTGATTAAGGATGAATGGAAATGGGGATGCTGTCTCAGGGGGTCCTCAACTCAACACCCGGAGAAAAATAGCCTCGGCCGCCTTTATTTTTACAGTCCTGACTTGACGTGGGGTCGTATTTCATTTTAATGTTAATAGAATTCTCCAGGAGATTCCCCAAAGATGAATGTTGGGGAAACACTACGACAAAGACATACACTTTCCTTCTTATTCTGGCAGTACTGCGTGGCTGTAAAATTAAAAAGTGACTGGTAGCTTTAAAAAAAACATCCCAATCTGGTGGAAAACCTAGAATTTTCTACTCGACCTGATGAGTGTTTGATAAATAGCACTGAGTGGAATAATTGTGTAATTAATCATTCATGCCCTTAAGGGAATCTCATTTTATTGGAAACAATTCAAGCTTGACCTGTGAAGTGAGGCCAGGAGGGGGGGCCTTGGTGGACATGAGGGGAGGAAGCTGCACTGGCCTGTTTGGGCCAGCAGAGCTTCCCCTAGCATCTGGGCTTCTCCTCCCAGGGCTGGAACCAGAGACACAGTAGCTGCTCCCCCACCAGTCAGAGAAAGCCTCTTCCTTCTCCCTGGAGCAATAGCACAGTGGGTAGGGCGTTTGTTTGCATGAGGCCGACCCGGGTTCGATTCCTCTTCCCTCTCAGAGAGCCCGGCAAGTCACCGAGATTATCCCGCCCACATGGCAGAGCCTGGCAAGCTCCCCATGATGTATTCAATATGCCAAAAACAGTAACAACAAGTCTCACAATGGAGATGTTACTGGTGCCAACTCGAGCAAATCAATGAACAACGTGAGGACAGTGACAGTGACAGTATTCAATGTTTTGCCTCGCACGAAGCAGGGAAACAAAGATACCCATCGAGGGGCTTGAGGAGGAAGTGAGTATTCCTAGGCTTAATTGCCTCACTGGTACACACCTTTCTTGGTGTCTGCCAGCCAGTCCTTGGTGGTGGAGGTAAAGAAAGGGAAAAACAAAATTCAGAAAGTGGCAGTAAGAGCCTGAAGTCACACAGCAAAATCAGAACCTGAATGTCAGCCTCCACGTCTGGTGGGGGATGGGGACAAGGCATGGAAGAGAGGAGGTCAAGTCTTTCTTGGCACAAAGCTTGGCATCACATTTCTTGGAAAGCAGGTGAAGAAACTTCTTGTTGCCTTACATCTTATTTCCCTAAGACTGGCTTGGGGAGCTTGATTCCTGTTTTTCTGTGGTCTTTGGAGGCAAACATCGCACTAAGCACCAAAATAGACATTACCACTGACTGCCACTGATCAACATAAATTTAGGCAGCTTCTGGGTGTGAGGGAGATCTGGCTGTGTCATCTGTCACTCCACTGATCTCCAGGGTTGGTTCGGCTGATCTGGCTGGCTGAGCGGATGTTCCCTTCCTCCTTTACTGCTCCATGTGCATGCCTGAGTGCTGGGTTTATGAGGGATGGACTTCCCCGGATAGAGATGAACCGTTTTCTGGTTAAGGGTATAAGAATAGCCACACTCCCCTGATAGAACTTCCAGACAACCTCCTGATTTAGACAGCTTCCAGGTTTCTGCTAATTTACGAGAAGACTTTTAAAAAAAACCTTGGTATGGTCTAGACACTAAAGAGCATTCTTCACGAGATGCAGAGTATGTTCTGGCTATTCTGCGAGCCCAGGATATGGCCACACTTTTTCTGGTTGCATCCAGTGACAGCTAAGGTCACTGGAGGGTAGAGGAGGGGACCTGGGAGGCTCCACAGCCCCTTTCCACTCTAGATATGTGGCTCTGAAGTGCTTATTAGGTTCCTGAAATGAGGGCCAATTTCAGCCGCCTGCCAGTGTCAGGATACCCAGATGTAGCAAACCCAAATGGCCCTGGTGGTGGTGGTGCTCACACCAGTTATGAGTGGTGGCTTCTAGACAACTGGAACCAGCAGGAACCAGCCTTTGGCTCAAAGAAGCTCAATTTTGCATCTTATTAAAAAATTGTGTGTATGTGTGTATTTAGGTCACACCCTGTGTTCAAGGCTTACACCTCTCTCTGTGCTCAGGGACCACTTCTGGTAGGGCTCAGGGACCACAGAGGGTGCCAAGGATGGACCTGGGGTCAGTGGCTTGCAAGGCAAGTGCCTTATCTTCTGTACTATCTCTCCTAGCCTCCTTTTTGTATTTTAGGTTTAGTCTCCCGTACAAGACTGGATGGACTCCCTACCTTACTTTCAGCTCTTACCCTGTCTTCATCATAGAGCTACCATTAGTGAGATTTTTTTAAACCCCCAGACATGGCCATGCCATCTTTGGCTAATATTTTTTTTTAATTTTTTATAATTTTATTTATTGAATCACCGTGAGATCAATTCCAAAGCTTTCGGGTTTAAGTCTCGGTCATACAATGAAACACCCATACCTTCACCAGTGCCCATTCTCCACCACCAAAACCCCCCAGTATACTCCCATCCCACACCCTCCCGCTACGAGTGGGGCAGATGATTTCTACATTACTCTCTCTTTACTTTGTTTACATTCAATATTCTGACACAAGACCCACCATTATTATTTGCGATTTTACCCCAACACTCTGATCTGCCAAAAAGGCAACAGTAGACAATTTGTTTTCTATTGCTGGTTATAAATAACATATGACGTCGCATGACTGCAGTTGTGGCTAAGCGATTTTGAAATTCCGAAATTTTAACAAATAAATCTGGAGGGATTTCTGCCAAAACCTGCTGGGTTCCAAGATTTGTTCCTGAGTCTCTGGGATTACGGCTGTTAAGCAGCTTGATCAGGAGTCTGGCTAATACTCTTATAATGTATTATATACCTGCTCTCAGTTCCTGAGCCTACTCTGTACCTGCTATGCAAGATAACCAGGGTGTCAGACTTAGGGGAGGACAGTCTGGGAAACAAAGCCAACAGTCAATGAACTAGACTGTTCATATGAATAACAATTGCCAGGGATGAGAAGGAGAACAGGGTCTGCATCGACCTCAGAGGAACGGAAACTGCCTTGCAGGCAGGATGAAGGAGGTTGAAAGTTTGATCCCACCATCACCCCATGTCAAGTGTGATCCCACCAATATTGTCACTGGGATCCCCAACACTATAATAACATGTGCTGACTCTAAGTCACTGTACCTAGGTGTGAGTGAGCACTGTAACCAACTCTGCAGGCCCCAGTGAGCACTGCAGAACTAAAAGGTGTGTGCAAGCCCTGGTCATTGCATACGATCAAGAGAAAGGAAGGAGAAATTACAGACATAGATATAATTTTATATATATGATATATATTGTAATATTTAATTTTATATGTATAAGAGATATCCCCTCTCGGAGAGCCCGGCAAGCTACCGAGAGTATCTCGCTTGCATGGCAGAGCTTGGCAAGCTACCCGTGATGTATTCGATATGCCAAACACAGTAACAACAAAGTCTCTAATGGAGACATTACTGGGCCCACTCGAGCAACTCAATGAACAACGGGAGGACAGTGTTTTTTGTTTTGTATAAGAGATATATGTGAAAGGATATATAAAAGAATATATATGTGCATATATATAATATATTATATATATATAAGAAAGGAAAAGATGTGAGTAGAGAGAACTAGTGGTAAGGGTCAGAGGCAGGTGCAGAGTGAAGGTCTTAGGCAGGAGTGATCTAGGGCAGGGCAGGCCCGGGGCAAGGCCTTTCTCGCCAGCTTTTCTAAAAGCAGGCTGTTGTAAGGAGAGTGTTAGAGGTGCTATGGTTGACCTCTGATTTGTATATTTCAAAACTCGCGGTCCATGAAGACAGGAGGACAGTGGGCATGGATGGAAGCAGAGACTCCTGGGAACAAGTGGCAGTGACTCAGCCTGAGCTGGGTGGACCTGGGAGGGGTCAGTTGCATTGGAAGCGGGAATGCAGGGAGGAGAGAGGTTCAGGAGATCTGAGGAGATCTGACAGAGGGATGTGGGAGATGAGGACAAATCAGGCTGAGTTCCAAAATGTCTCATTTGGTTCACTGGGGAGATCCTCGCTACATTTCCCTAGGGAGGGAAACAGCCACAGCGATAAGGCCCTACAAGAGTCTGGAGCAGCAGGAGGAGGCCTGGGCCTCTTGGTTTATTTTGGTGTATGGTGGGCTGGAGCGATAGCACAGCGGGTAGGGTGTTCGCCTTACACGCGGCCAACATGGCCGACCCGAGTTCGATTCCTCCGCCCCTCTCGGAGAGCCCGGCAAGCTACCGAGAGTATTCGATATGCCAGACACAGTAACAACAAAGTCTCCAATGGAGACGTTACTGGGCCCGCTCGAGCAAATCGACGATCAACGGGAGGGCCTTTACCTTTACCTTTATGGTGGGCTCAACATCTGGAGGGGCTCAAGGTTCACCAAGGCTACTCCCTAAAGTGTTGGGGCTTGAACCCAGGGCCTCTCCTATGTAAGGCACGTGCTCAACCTCTTGAGCCACATCCCTGGTCCACGGAGCCTGGCTGCTGCTTTTATGTTTTTCTGTTTGGGAAGTGAAGCGCTGCTATTTCAAACCTAAACGACGTCAAGTACAGGATGCAGGGAGGAAATGTGGATGCCCAGCATCCCTCTGTGCGCTCCGGGCCCCCACTCAGGCACACCTCTGACTGCCAGTTCCCTCCTCCAGAATGAGTTTGACTTCCAGGTGGATCAGCTTCTCAATTTGTATTCGCTCCCTGAGACTAGGTCACGTGACTCCTCTCCTGCTGCCTTCCCTGGCCACCCACATTCTCCAGGCTGGAAAGGCTCCCCCACTGGGGAAGCTCCTGGGGTCTAGACATGTGCTTGTCTGACCCGGCATCATGTTCTGGCACACCTTCCAGCTCACCTGTAGAAGGTCAGCTGCAGCGCCACCTGAATAAAGGCATCAGGGCTGCATTTCTGCTTCTTGATGAATGTCTTCCCGTAGCTGTCAAACTTATAAACAATGAAGTCAAGATTTTTCACGATGCTGTGGAAGAATAAAAGAAGCACTTATAAAATGCAAAATTGGAGGCACATCCCAAGCATTTGTTTAACTGTGTTGCTGATCTAGATCCTCCTGCTCACGATGGACTCAGTTCCCGCTCACACCTCTCCCTCTCCCCATGAGACAAGTGGTAAGGAAATGGCAGAGGGCACACAGACCAGGGTTACTTGGAATTGATAACTAGGCTTGTCTGGGCAGGGTGGCAGCCCTGCTTTGTGCATGGGAGCGGCCTGGGGCCCCCTGGGGTCTTTGCTTGGGCAGGAAGAGCACTGCTTACAAGGGACAACTGTGAGCTCTGCTGTGCATGGAAGAAAGAGGCCATTCATTTGGCGCCGCTGGGAAGGGCTATCCAGATGTTCCTGGGTTCTATTGGCATCCCGGGCATCCTGACAGAGTCAGCAAACCCCTCTCATGTCTGTTTATCAGGTGGTTGGAAAACCTGTCTCCTTACTCAGACTCATCCTTGTGCTTTGGGAGGAAAAGACTGGGACTCGTCACTGATCTTGGTTGCCATGCTTGACCTTGAAACTACTCCCTGAGTCTCCCACAAGTCACTGTCAGAGGAACAGAAAAATTCCCTGGGTCTCCACTGAGATGCCTGAGTGTGACGCCTGGCCCCTCCAGCTGCTCCATATTTCCCAGCTCCCTCCTCCAGAATGAGTTTTACTTCCAGATGGACCAGCTCCTCTTGGTCCATGCTGAACCAGAGTTTCTGATAAGGCAGAAGCACCTGGAAACTGCATGTCCCAGCCTTGCCTGCCTAGACCCCCTTCCATGGGTGGCTCCTGCTTCCCTACCCCCAAGCCCCTCCTGGATCTTCCCTTCCTCCAGGGTGAGGAGCGGGGCGGCTGGCATCAGCTGTGATCACCTAGCATCTGCTTGAGTCCTTGCTAGAAAGCAGTCTTGGTCCTCTACCCAGGACTCACCAGCTCACCGACCAATTCTGCTCATGGGTTATTCCAACAATGGCCAAGGTCAAGTATCACACCGTTTTCTTTTTCTTTTCTTTTGTTTTTATTTGCTTTTTTGGATCACACCTGACAATGCACAGGGGTTACTCCTGGCTCTGAACTCAGGAATCACCCCTGGCAGTGCTCAGGGGACCATATGGGATGCTGGGAATCGAACCCGGGTTGGCCATGTGCAAGGCAAATGCCCTTCCTGCTGTGCTATTGCTTCAGCCCCTATCACACCGTTTTCAAGATGAATATCCAGGGTCTCTGTCACTCCCTCAGAAAAGCCAGTCAAGTGTCAACAGATCTTGGTGGCCTCATCCTCCTCATCCTTGGCAACTGAGCCTGCCACACCCTGCCCTGCCCACCTGCACTCTCCTGATCCCCACAGACTACAACTGGCTCACCACAAGATGCTGCCCAATCAGCCTCTTTAGGAAAGGACAGTGCAACTCTGCACAGTAGGGTGCTCACTTCCCTCCGGTACCCCAACTCTGGCCACTCTCTCATTTGTTGTTTTTCAAACTGGCCTGGGATTCTTTAGAAAACCATACAAGAAGGAACAAGGGCTGGAGTGATAGCACAGCGGGTAGGGCATTTGCCTTGCATGCAGCCAATCCTCCTGACCCAGGTTCGATTTCTCTGCCCCTCTTGGAGAGCCCGGCAAGCTATCGAGAGTATCTTGCCCACACGGCAAAGCCTGGCAACAAGCTACCCATGACATATTTGATATGACAAACACAGAAACAAGTGTCACAATGGAGACGTTACTGGGCCCACTCGAGCAAATCGATGAACAATGGGAGGACAGTGACAGTGACAAGAAGGAACAAGCTGCCCTGCTGCCTCTCTGGCTGCCTGTACCATGGACTCCTATTCATCTTCAAGAACTCCTTTTTTTTTTATTGCAAAGACCACCTTCAATGCTCTCATAGAATTCAGCATCTTGTCCTCTGTAGGTTCAGGCACTGACTGCATCATAAATGTTCTGCTATGGGCATTTAGACCAGTCTCAAGTATGCAGGGCAGGCCTCAGAACACATTCATGGCTATGCCCACAGAGCTTGAGCTCACCAGAGCTCAGCACATGTTGAATTTATGAATGAACAAACAAATAGATGAATCGAATTGTGTCACTCAGTCAACAAGGAAACGAACTTCAAAGGTGCATATCAAGTTGCCAGCCTATGGCTTCCTCTGCACCTTGTCACTGAGCCGACACTGGCCCACTGAAGCAGCTGACTTTCACCCCTCCTGCCTGGGTCCCGTTAGGACCTGGGCTGCCCCTTGTGCCCAGAAGAATGCCCGCCTATCAAACTGCAGTGTGAAGTCCAGCAAATCGAAATAGCCTGGATTCAAATGACCTATTCAAACGAGTTGTATATAACTCACATAAGGCAAGAAGGATTTCCCCACCTTGACTCAGTCAGGTGAGACCTTTGGAAAAGAAATAGCTCAATGTTTGCATTTTATGGAAATGAGGGACACTTGGGCAAGGTTATTTCCCCAGAGCTACAGCTCCCCTTTTGTTTGACTACATTTCCATCAGGGAGTGAGGAGAGGAAGAGGAGCTGTGGTCTTTGGAACTTGCCAGGCTGTGCCATCAACCAGGACAGGCAGGGTCGGTGACACCCCAGCCCGCCCCCAAATCACCACCCTCAAGGACACACTTGGACTTCTCCTCACCATTGAAGTTTCTCCGCCGAGGAGGCTAAGAGGCCTTGAATTTCCGGGGAGCACTTCCACCTCAGCCTCCTGGGGGCTGGTAACTCACTGACTGAATCTGCTCGAACCAGCTTCTTGCTGCTCTTCATCCTGGAGGCACAGTGAATGGAGTTGTGGCCACCTCAAACCTGTGGCCTGGTCCCTCCCTCTAGGGCAAAGCTGAGGACATCCTCCCTGTGGCTTTTATACTCCATCTTTGGCAGGAACTTTCTCAATGTTGCATCACCCCCACCCCAACCCCTGACCCCCAGTGGCCATCCCACTTTTCTGGCCGGGCCTGGCATCCACTGTGCAGTCTGGCTTTGGTGGGGAGGGCCCCGCTGATGGACTCACATATGCTTGAGCAGGTGTTCAGTGCACTGCACCAGGACAATGCCATCGAATGGGGAGTGTTCACACACCACTCCACATGTGCCATCTCGGCCCACCACAAACTGCAGAGAAAGAGGGAACATCTGGGAGAAGCAGCATTGCAGCCAGCCCCTTGTCTCCAGTCCACGCCTCCTCCCTTGCCTCCCCCAGGGTCCTCTTCTCTCAGGGCACCAAAGCTTAATCCCATCTGTAAAGAGTACTGCATTTGGACTGAACATGATTGCCACTCAATGCCTCTTTTGCAGACCACAACACCCAAAAGGAGAGAGAACAAAAGGGAATGCCCTGCCATAGAGGCAGGGTGGGAAGGGGGGGGATGGGTGTGGGAGGAATATTGGGATCCATGGTGGTGGAAAACGGGCACTGGTGGAGGAATGGGTATTTGATCATTGTATAATTGAAACCCAAGCAGAAAAATTTGTAAATCTACAACTGTACCTCATGGTGTTTCACTAATAAAAATTTTAAAAAAAGAGTGCTGCATTTACCAAGGCCCCAGACTATGGAATCTAAGTAGTTTTCAACGGTGCCATCCCCTTCCCAGAAAAGCTCTGGGAAGTGATGGTGGACAAGCCCAAAGTTCCCTGGCTGAAACAGCCCAGTGTTTCCTGAGAACTTGCACAAATATGGTACATGCTGTCCACAGGCTGGGGTCCACAGGTGGGCAGCTTTGATATGAATCTGTTACCCACCCCCATTCCCTGTCCCTTTCAGGGCTCAAATTAGGACCACCATCTAGTACTGTCTTGTGTGGCCATATCTCCTAGACCCTGTATGTTTGGAAATTGTTGGCCTCGTGCCCAGGATTTAGAGTCATGTGCATTCATAGTGGGCGTTCAATTACTCTGTTGAACAAACAAATGCAAGGTGGCTATCCCATTTGGATGGTGAGCAGATTCCCAGGGAGAAATAAAATTCGCTGTGAGTGAAGGCAAAGGCGTAGGACTGCTCTCCAGCCAGAGACCCGGCTTCACGCTTCACTGTTGCCACCTGCTAGCTGGGAGAGCTTCCAACAGATGCTTCCACTCTCTGGCTGCAGTTTGCTCTCAGTTTGAATTTAAAAGCGTTCAATAAGGTCCAGTTTACAGGATTGGTATGAAAACCAACGAGAAGCGATATGAAAGGCAATGGGAGCCCTGGAGACTTCTCACTATCTTTATCGTTCCTTTACTAAGACTGTAGTATGTAGCTGCCCCGGAAGGGACATAGAGCACCAAAGGACTAGAAGAACATCTCAGTAGGATGGGATGTGATTCTTCATGTTTGGTTGTTTTTGTTCTCCTAAGCAGTGCTTAGAGGACCCTGGGACTGCCCAAGTGGTACTTGTAGAACCATGTGATGCCAAGAATCAAAAATGGGGTCTAAGCATTCCAGACACATTCTCCATCCACTTAAGCCATCTCCCCAACTCTTAGACCTGATTCTTAAAGTGCAGCCTGAGTAAAATGGGGCTCGCTATTAGCCTAGGTCAGCACAGCATCATGCCCAAGAGATGCCAGTAAAGTCCCAAGTCAATAAAAAAAGTCCTAATCTGAAAGTTTCGCTGACACCCCTCCCAGGTGACCAAATACACACACACACACACACACACACACACACACATCTGAGGCAACACTCTACACATCTCCCCACACCTCTCCCATAGAGTTCTAGTTATCTGAATCTCTTCTGGGGGGACTATACCACCTCTGGTGGTGCTCAGGGTGTACTTTTGGCTCTGCACCCAGAGATAATATCTGGCAGGACTTGGGGACCCTATGTGGTGATGAGGATTTGAAGCCAGGATGTCCACATGCAAAGCAAGTGCCTCACCTGCTGTACTATCTCTTGGTCCAGTTGCCTGTATCTTGACTCCATTCCTGTCTTGCTATTTTTTTTTTTTTGGCCAGGGGAAGGGCCTTCCCAGCAGTGCTCAGAGTCCCAGGGTTTTATGTCAAGCCTAACAGGGTGGACCTGATGGTTTAGTGTTTGCTCAAGTCCAGCAGATATACCTGGAAATGCTTTACAGGCCAGACAGTGTTGGGGACCGAACTTGGGGTCTTGAGCATGCAAGGCATTCATTCTATTCCTTTGAGTCCTTTATACCCATTTTTCCAAAATAATTTCCCATAGACTTTCTCTTAAAATTCATCCCTCCCAAACTCCTTCCTCTCCTCCGGCAGAGTCCCCTGCCTCTCTGCTCTGAGATAAACTCTGATCCTCTTTATTCGGGTCCACAGGGCCTCTGGATTCTGAAGTTCACCCAACAATCTGTGCTACTTGCAAAAAGCCAGGCATGGTGTGGCAGGAGCGGGAGAGGTGGGCGTGCTCACATATTAGTGTCTACCTGCCTGTGTCACAGAAAGAAGGGGGGGGGGGGTAGGGAGCTTTGCAAAAACCACGACCAAGCCTTGTTAGGCTGCAGGTTCTGCATCTCCATGAGATCATTTCAATCCTGCTGCTGCTCCGTGAAAGATTACACGCCATTAGTGTCACGGTGGAGGCAAAAACAGCCAGCGCAGCAGCAGAGCACTCATGAGCAATAGCAGAATCAATATGCAAACCGATGGAAAGGATAACCTGCTGAACACAGGAGACGGAAAACGAGAAAAACGAGGCACTGCCTAGAAAATACTCATCAATGTGATGGTGCTGAACTGGAGCACGGAGAGGGCTTGGCAGCTGCAGCATCCGGCTGTGGTGAAAACTGTGATTCTCCCGACAGACTGGAGCAGAGTCAGCACAGCCATGTGAGGAAGGCAGGATGAAGGGATGGAATGAGGGGATCGTGGCTTCACCCCCATCTACATCAGTACTTTAGGCTGATGTCATGCAAACGAGTACCAAATTCACTGTCTTGGTTCATTTTGATGATGGGCTGTCTGAGCCTCTTTGGGATGAGGGGAGTGTGTCCTCACAATCAGGGCACAGTGCCCTGAAGAAAGAGAGTAGTAGAAGTGAGGTGCTGGCTTTGCATGCAGCCGACCCAGTTTGATCTGATCCCCAGCACCACTTCTGGTTCCCTACACAGTGTAAGGAATGATTCCCAAGTGCAGACCAAGAATGAGCAGTGAGCACAGAGCCAGAAGTGGGCTTTGCCTTCAGACAGATGTGGCCATAAACACCAAAATTAAAAAAAAAAGTCCTTTTCAAAGATGCTGATGCCACTGGGCAAGCATCACTGATTGTCACTGTTGAGGAGTTGTCAGTGAGCGTCCCTGGCTCACAATGTGATGGGAAATGGGAAATGAACCCCAGATCTGACCCTGACCACCACACCCCCACACACACACATGGCCAGTACAGGCTAGAAGAAGGCTCCAAAGCTTGATACAGGGCTGACCACTTGCTTTTGAGACGCCAAATCAGTGGTACCCCAGGGCACATCGCCAGCAATTTCTACCGCTTCCACCCCAGTTGCAGCCAGTGGTCATCAGAGGTCAGCGAGTGAGTGAACCTGCTGGAACCAAGCACGGGGTCCCACAGATTCTTACCTGCAGGGACTTGTCGTACCAGCGGTTTGCCCCATTCTTGCTGCAGCCTCCTCCGTGCAGGAGCTGGAGTGCCCTGTTGGTGTGACTGAGATCCACGCCTCCTGGGCCGTCCAGGCACACCAGGCAGATGCAGCGCTCGATCATGTCCAGCGAGTCCCGGTTGGTGGAGTCTACGGGGCAGGCAAGCGAGGCCTTGGCACCTGCCCTGCCCTGGATGGGGTGGGCTCCCCGCCACAGTCCCGCACTGCAGGCACCCACACAGACATCCAGATGTGAAGCCAGTCCTGATCTCTCCCTCCAATCCTGGGCTTGGGCTGTGAAGTCAGCCAGACTGTCCTGAGCCTCTGGATGACCATAGGGCCCTCTGCCCTCAAGGTCTCTGCAAGTATGTAGCTGCCCTCGGCTGTGGGCAGTTTTACCCCAGGTGTGTGCTCACTTGTACACTGGTCCTGCCTTTGAGGAAAAAAGGAGGTTGGCGTAGAAACTTCTCCTGGGCCATTAGAACTTCCAGGTCCGCCCAAACCAGAGGAGAAGCTCCAATTCTCCCATGCAACCGCACCCTGCTCTAACACCCCTCAAACCACAACTGGCAAGTAGGTATTTTTATTTGTCTTGAACTAGGATTTTTTGTCATTTGTGTTTGAAGGGCTACACCTGGCAAGGATCAGGGCTTGCTCTGTGCTCTGCGGTTCTTCTGAGAGATGCTTAGGTGGTACTGAGGATCGAACCAGTCTCCCATATGCCAAGCCTGAGCTCTAGCCACGGAGGTCTCTCCCTGGCCCCAGTTGCTGAAAGTATTTATAGTTAAGAAAATCTGGAGAAAAGAAGCAAGGATGCTGGTCTTCCTCACCCACATCCCCAGCTGCCGTTTGATGCAGAGGACAGGTAGGAAGCCAGGCTGCCTCAACCTTTATCCCGAGGAGTCTACTGGAGCTGTCTCCTGGAATCATCAGGATGAAAAGCCATCAATGTGGGTAGGAGAGTCACCGAGTGGGCTCGACTTCTCCACAGGGGATGATGGACTGAGCTTCCTGGAACAGAGCTGAGCCAGCCAGATAGGCTGCTCCAAGGAGGGAAGAGGCAAAAGCCTGCTCAGTGGGACCTGGTGGGGCCACAGCTGCTGCTGCTGTATTAACACACCAGCCAGGAGACTTGACTGTGGTGATTTAATTCATTCTCTTCCATCACGCCAGGGTTCAGGGCCTAACAGTGAGGGTTATCCATCACCCAGAGACCCTGACCTCTGGGCTGGATGCTGTCACAGAATGAAGTTCTGGGTGACCTTTCATGAGAAGGTCAGGAGAAGAGAAGAACAAACATTCTCTTCTCCTGCCTCAGAATGTTCTAGGTGTAGAAAAATTAGGTACATGGTATATGGAGCAAAGGGGCATTATGTTGCCTACATTGCTATTGCATATCCCAGTCTCCATCCTCCCTTTTGTCAAAGAAAGAGTGGATTCTAGCTCTACACACAAGCAGCCACGAGCAAAGTCACAGTTTCAGGCTCCGTTATAGGCAGAGGTAAACATGTCTAAATTCTGCCAATAAGATCTAAAATACTATTAGACAGCTTCCAAGAAAACTCCTCAAAGATAACTGGCATGTACTCTTTGCTTTCTTTCTACTTTCTCCCCGGCTATGATGGCAACCTCAAATTCCCAAAACCCCCAGTAATGATGGATGCTGGTCCTCATTCCAGGGATCTGATTCCAGTGCTAATGGGCCATACATGGCGGATTTGGAAATGTGAGGAATCTAGCAACAGCAGAGAACCACTGAAGGCAGAGGGCGATTTGGAGTTTAGGATGTCTGTCTGCTTGGGCCAGGGTCTGCCAGCCAAGGGCAGCCCAAATACCACACACCTTGGCCCCAGTGACCACGCCTTAGTGAGCCCCTTGAGCTTTGGCTTGGTATCTGTCGCCATCAGGGTTTCCTCAGAAATAGTCCCAGGGTCAACAGGACAGTCAAGAGGACAGGAGAGAAGGAGGTCTGACACAGACCTTCTCTGTGGGGTAGCCAAGAAAACATAATTTCTGGATATTAAAAATTCTAGCCACCTCCAAGCTGCGGGGGACCCCCACAAGGAGGGCCTGAGCCATCACTGGTGCAGGTTGCTTAGGGACTCAGAGCTCAGCACCAACCACCAGAAACCAGGTGCTGGCTCATTAGACAGAATGAAATGGGAGCAGGTCTGCAGAGCCGGATGCCAGGTGGCCTTGCAAATGAACTCCCGGCATCCGAGATGCTGATCGGTCAAATGCTGACAAGTTTATCGTGTAAGGCAGAAAATGAACTACCCCCAAATCTATCCACCAGGACTCTGGCCCCAATCTAATGGAAACACGGGGCGGTGGGCTGCAGGCAGGCAGGAGCCGTTTGTCTTGTGACATCCTCATCGAGCACCATGGCGGCTCGTTTAATGTGGCAAATCAATCTTCCTCAAGGAGTCCCTGCTTAATAGTGAGAAGCCGGAATTGAAAAATAGGAGGAGCTTGCTCCACCACCCCCACCAGGGGAACTGCAGACATCCCAGAGGCTACAAGGCCATGGAGAGCCCTGGAGCTTCTGTTGAGAGGGGTTGAGAGCTTAACAACCTGATTGAGCTGAGTGAGGGTGAGAGCAACACAGCATCCCTGTCAAAGGAGCGCTGGAGAAGCTTCAGGGGCTGATCCCCAGCACACGCGCCCACTCACCTATGCATACACACAGACCCAGACAAACACAGACTTCTGACACTTGCCTTCTCTGATCTCCTTCCCAGACAGCTGGCTGGAGTTTGATTTTTAAAAATTGCCCTGCTGTTCTCCTATACATGATCCAAGGGTGGAGGCCTTTTCTCAGAGGCTTAGAGTCTCTAGACATGTGTCAATCCCCTCTGTTTTTCTCAGATGGAGGAATCTTATCTCCTTTGGGGAAGTAATTACAGCATCATATATTCCATGTTCTTGCCCCTTCTTTAGCTCGTGAAAGTAACTTTCAATGACCAATCCACTCACTTGTGCCATCCACAGATATCAAAAGGTTAAAAACCATTGGCTTAGTGGGTAATCATTAGGGTCTTGGTCCCAAGAGACTTAAGTACTCCAACAAAAGTGTTTCTTGTTCAATGAAGCCTGGCTCTTGTAAATGAGAACCTCCACTCTTCTTCCTCTTCTAAAGAGCTCAAGAGACAGGGATTTCTACTCCCAGAAAGATCATCTGGACTTCCTTTCTCCTCACTGAAAACCCTGGGCTTTGTATTTAAAACAAACAGAAGAAGATTATGAAAGAGTAAAAGAGAAGGCAGAACTAGGGACCTCAGGATTCAAAGATGATGATGGGTTCCCTGCTTAATAAAGATTGAATTGTGTTCTGCTCTTGCCTCCTAAAATTTGTATATTGAAGTTCTAGCTCCTGGTGTGACTGTATTCAAAGATCAGACCTACAAAGAGATAATTAAGCTAAAATAAGACTATAAAGAAGGAGTCTTGGGGCTGGAGAGATAGCACAGCGGGTAGGGCATTTGCCTTGCACGCGGCCGACCCAGGTTCGATTCCCAGCATCCCATATGGTCCCCTGAGCACTGCCAGGAGTAACTCCTGAGTGCAGAGCTAGGAGTAACCCCTGTGCATCGCCAGGTGTGACCCAAAAAGAAAAAAAAAAGGAGTCTTATTAAACCAACACAACTGTTGTCCTTATAAAAAGAGGAAATGATAACAGAGATCATGCGTACAGAGGAAAGATCATGTGAGAGTCAGTCAATCTGGTAAACTAGGGAGAAAGGTCTCAGCAGAAAACAACCCTGCCTATAACTGACACCTAATCACGAACAGCTTAATGGGTAACCATTACGAACAGACCCTTTGTAAGGGTCTATCTCACAGTGATTCAAATGAAAAAAAAAATCAATCACTGTCAATCAACCACTGTCCTCCCGTTGTTCATCGATTTGCTTGAGCAGGCCCAGTAACGTCTCCATTGGAGACTTTGTTGTAACTGTGTTTGGCATATCGAATACATCACAGGGAGCTTGCCAGGCTCTGCTGTGCGGGCGAGATACTCATGGTAGCTTGCCGGGCTCTCCGAGAGGGGCGAAGGAATTGAACTCTGGTCGGCCATGTTGGCTGCGTGCAAGGCAAACGCCCTACCGCTGTGCTATCGCATTTGAAAAAAAAAAAAAACCCTGCCAGCATCTGTATTTTGCACTTTCAGCCTCCAGAACTGAGAAATTTTTTGTTTCATTGCTTCATTCACCCAGTCTCTGGTATTCTGTTATGGCATCCCTAAAAAATAAGTGCATTGGGCCTTCTTTCACCTAAATACATCATATTTGGAATTCATATAACCAGAAATACAAAAAAATTCCCAACAAAAGCTTGCTCTCTTTAGCTGAAGAACCAGGTGTGAGGCAGAATAGCAAGACAGACCATCTTTGGCTAATAACCTTGCCCCTGGCCAACATAGACCAAGTGGAGAGCCTAAACTTCTCTCATCACCAGTCTGAGATGAATCATCTTAACTTCTGGTATTAAGGAAGGGGTGGTCTTAGAAGGAAGTTGGAACTTTCATAACTTCTGGGCAATAAATACCATGCCAGTTGCCTCCCTAATTTGGCATTAGCAGGGACTATGAGGTGAGCTTGAATTCCCATCTTCCACCTTCAGTAACATGGACATCTTCTCTTGGGGGTGTCAATATAGGCTACACGAGGAACCAGGACATCTATTCCCACTTGGTTGCAACTGGAAGTACCAAACCCCTTTCTCTTCAGTGCCCGCAGTTTCAGAGCAGTGTCAGAAAAAATCAGTTAAAACAAAACTTAAATAAGCCCCAGAGGGGCCAGAGTGACAGCCCAATACGCAGGGTGCTTGCCTCCATGCTGTCAACTGGGTTTAATCTTTGGCACTCCATATGGTCTCCTAAGCCTGCCAGGAGTAATCTCTGAGTACAGAATCAGGAGTAAGCCCTGAGCACTGAATGTGACCTCCAAAGAAAACCAAAAACAAATAAATAAGCCCCAAAGTCTCATAATATAGACAGGTTTTAATAGAAAATTAATCATACCTACAGTCAGGGAAATTAGTAGATATCAGTAAGACATTATAGAAATGTTACAATTATATATTCAGTCATCATAAAATGCTTTAATAATTAGTTATTGATGCATTTGAAATAAATTTTAGAAACCCCA